TGACTTTCCATAACAAAATAAAGATGATGGAACAGACCTGAATTTGTTGCAGGTATTTTGCCAAATACTCAGGCTAATCCATTCAAAACAGTTTCCAAATTACAAAAGTCGAAGCTGTGTTCATGCAGTTAGGTTGAAATAGACCAAATTGGAGACAGGGGAGAACAGAGAATGATCACCTTTATCATTGGCTACTATTCCTTTAATTCATACTAATCAAAATATATTTATGATACCAGTTTGAAAGATAATGAAATATTTTCAGAATGGCGTGGCAATATCTGCCCTGTTTGGATATTCTCCAGGAAATAACTGTTACCACAGATTTAGAAGATCAGCTCAAGAAGGAAACCACTGACAAAAACCCAAAGATCTGAATTCCCCTCTTCAAGAAAACTGGTATCTCTTTAGGACTGCTGTCAATTGGTTTAATACTGTTTGAAGTGTCAAGAAACCCTTCTAAATACAGGTCAATATTTACAATGGTCATGTGTCTAGGCAAAATTCTTTAAGTCAATGGAATACTCAATTTCCACACACACACCCCCACCCCCCCCAATTCCCCAAAGCAAAAAGCACACTGTGGTTAACGCAAATGGCTAGGTAAGTATCCTTGAAGGATGATGAACCTCCTTAATTACTGATCTAAGAACATTAATTTGCAGAACTTTGATTGACTTTCATGATGCAAGGTCAAGTTAACTAGGTTTAATCAACTACTTTTAAGCTATTTTAAAGAGTTAAAGTAACTCAAGCGTTCTCTTATACCTGCAATCTTACAGTGCCACTGCCCACCCACCCTGGGGCATGATAGTAGTTCTGTCCCTCAGTGATTTATAGACTTCTAAAACATCTGCTCTCTGCCCTAACACACAGAAACTTGGGTTTAAGTTCATGCTATTCTTCACAGAAAAACATTGCCACTTGTACATCTTTTGTACAGTAGGGGCATTGGGGCAAGGACACATTATTTTACTAAGGTAAACTAAGCAATGACAGAAAGAGAATTTGCAGCATACGTAAGAGACTGGCAGCTGCAGAATCTGGGTTTGTTTTCAGTCACATAGGCAAAAATCACTACAGCTATTACATAATTAAGCAAAAAGCGTAAGGACATTTCACATGTTTTTTTCCTTCCTAGCCTATAAAAACGGGGCTAGAAAAAGAATGAAATTTAAAAACCCACCACCACCCTTAAGAACAGCAAAGCATTATGCCTCTAACCTAATTATAAAACCTATCTACAAGCAGCAACCAACTTCCTACTCAAACACCACATTTCCAAAACTAGATTTGCCTATCAATTAACAGCACAGAAATTAAACCACATTTAATGTAGCAGAACACAGAACAGCAAAGTTTAAGTTAACAGACAACCCTGCCAGCTAGCTGAATATATGAATCTGCAGATGAAAAACATGCATTTTTATATTGGTGTTGCACTCCAAGGTCATACTAGAGGCAAAACAAGACCATTATTAGGTGTAACAAGCTGACACTGATGAGCTTCATTTGCATGCAATGACAAAAAATTAACACCTAGTTTCCATCTTCAACCCAAACTGTTTTTCACATCATTCGGGAGCCAGAAGACATCAAGAAAAAAGTCCACACTAGAATCCCCTCCACCCCATATTTACTTTGGCACAAACGTGACATTTCTGTCCTTGACTGTCAGGTCTTATTTAATGTTACTCCCACTTTGGTTTACTTTCCCAAGCAGCACTACTTTTAAGACATATCACACACATTAGAGAAGTTTATAGTCCATTTCTTATATTGCCATATAACATTATGCTTTATATATGCTGCACGCCAGAAATTACTCTTAACTTGAGCTAGTTCATAACTCTGATATTTAAACTTCCCTATAGTTTTTCACATCCAGCATTTCTTTTCATAGCTATTTGCTTCCTAGTTCATAACCACAGCTTTTAAGCGCTTATCTTCTATGACAAGAATTCCAGAAAAAAATTCCTATGAAAGCAGACTAGAATTTGTCATGGCCCTTCTATAACTATTAGAATTGGACACTACATTGCACAGTCTATCTGTGAGCAAACTGTCTGCTGTGTATTACTGGCAAACATATGAATGATTTAATGGTTTGCTTTCAGTCACTGAAACAGAAAGCTTTCTAAACTGTTTCCACCCATGAAGTATCTCAGCAGCTCTGCAGGTCTCAGCATTCAGAAGCCATGCAAGGAGCATAAAATGAGCAGGCTGAGACATGCTCCCGAGACTGGTCTAACAGCTACTAAAAGATGCTTAACCCAGGATCTCCAAGCCACGACTGCAATGGAAAGAGCAGTTTCCTTCAGCCTTTTCAAACAGTGGCAAAGGGCATGTTTAGCCATTTGGCCTGCAATCACATAAACATCATCACAGAATGGTTGAGATTGGGACCTCTGGAGATGGTGTTGTTCCCTTGCTCAAGGCAGGGTCATCTCCATTAGGTTACCTAGGATATTTCCCAGGCCAATCTGGGTTTGAGTATCTCCCCACTCCAGTGTCTCTGCTGGGAAGCCCAGACCTTGATCCAGCACTCCAGGTAGGTCTAACCAGTGTTGAGTAGGGGGGCTGGATCACCACGCTTCTCCCACTGCTCATCCCAATGCAAACCAAAGTGCTGCTGAGTCATCTTTACCACAAGAGCGCATTGCTGGGTCATGCTCAATTTGTCTACCATCCAGAGGTGAGGCTGCTGGTCAAGTTGAGCACAAACCCCACCTTTTTTCTGGTTCTGACTTAGGGTGTAGTGCCTACCCAGTGGTAACAATATTGTCTTCATATATCAGAAAAAGTATCAGGGAAGACATGACCACATTCACCATATGGTAATGTGCTTCTGAACGCTGCAGCGGTGCAGACATTTATCAAAATTACAGTTAAGACTACAGTAAACACAAAGATTACTGTGGATGAGAGAAAAATATAATGATATTTTGTAACCCCTACAGCAAAGTCACATCATTAAGCATTAGAGAACGTTTCAATGCTCATATCCTTCAGCAGAAGAGCAGAAAGAAACAGAATTATTAAACCAGCAAGCCTACAAATTCTGTATTACAACCAAATCTCAGTATCTTAGCATCGTAAAAACTACTCCAAGTGAGTATCACTACACAATAAGAATGAATGGGGACCAGGTTGAGAGACTGAGGGAAGCCTATCCTCATTTAGCCAAAATGTAAACTTTAATGTTGAAGAAAATGCATAATTTAAGCAAACTAGAAGAAATACAGCCTCAGTGCGCTCAACATGTGCAACCAAATTCGGCATTATTCGAATTACCTTGATGTTATGCAAATAAAAATATTTAGGCTTGAAGGCAGAAGTTAAATAAGCCTGTTTAAAGAAAAAAAAAAAAGATTTAAATACAAGTTTCTTTTCAGTAAACAGAAGGAAAAGCTTCAAGGCTTCACAAGCACAACGCTTTGTACCACACTGTCTCGCAGCGTTATCATGATGGACTTCCATGCTCGTGTCTAAACCAAAACTGAGCAACACTTAATCAGGCATAACAGAACTTGCCATAGAAGTGAAAATATTTCCATAGTGCTTTCTCAGCAGACCTAGTAGGTATGGTAACATGATGATTCAGCAGATGAGCTCCTGCACAAAACAGAGGGAAATGTCTACCAGAAGTGGAAGAGTTGCTGACCATTCAGCTGCAATTATCCCAGAGTGATTGTCTTTTTTGGATTCACATGCATGGTCTCTCTCTAGTGAGGCACAGCAGCCTTCTGTGAATTTCTTCAGGACTATTTCTTATTCATACTAACCTACTTCCCCTCTGCCTTCCTTTCAACCTCTACTTGCTGTAAATACCTTCCTGATATTTACTGAAATCACTGCTGGCTGAACAGATCAGACTGGTAAGGTAGACATGGAGTAACAGACATGCCACAGATACACCCTGTTGTACAAGACAAAGAACAGGTATATATGCTCTTATTTGACACCAGTAACAAAAAACTCTTCCCCTCAACTAGCTCAGGGAGATGTGTGCAACTGTCACCTAAGAAAAGCAAAGTACATAAGTCACGTAATGCAGCTGAAATCTCAGCATCTTTACCCTTACAGGAGGAAGATTTTAACCCTAAGAGTCACATATCTTCTGGAATCAGGACTATCAAAAAAAAAACCCTTAAGATTCAAGAAACAGGATCAAATAGGAACTGCTATCTAAAATTAGAAATGCACGCTTTCTTTAAATAAACAGCAAATTCTTTAAGAATCAGTTTTAACATTGTTCTGGCTGTCAGAGTACCACAGCGTGAATTCATTGCTCTGCACAGAAGCAGCTACACTGAGGTGCACAAACCCCAAATGCTTCAGAAGTAATTAGGAGATGGAAGCAAAACGAACTATGTAACCAGTGAGAAGGAAAAAGTGACAGCCACAGAATCACAAATGGCAAAAACGAGGGAAACAGCAAAAAGTTTCTATGGACCACACGAGATCTAGTGGCTGCTAAAAAAGCCAGACTGTATCAAGATTTGTTTTCTGTAGTAAAAGCCAGCCTTCCCCTCCATGCATTAAATAGTAGGCTGATACAATAGAACAGTTGTTCCTGCAATCAGCATATGCTCTTCTGCTCCGTCTGGTCACCTACAAATATCATCTAAGTGTGGTTAGACAGATGGGAAGCTCCACCAACTGCTTAATCAGCAGCCTAAAGGCCTCTAACAAGAAATTCCATGTGACATTTGAAAATCATTCTAAGTTTTAATAGGGCAAGGTGTTTATCTGAAAGCATTTAATTTGTGACTAAGAGCTATGCCTTCAATTTTGACTTATTTAATACATTATAATAGAATTTATGCCAAGTAAAGAGAACAAACTCAGGTCAGAAAAAGATTAAAAGATAAACAATAGTAAGAGAGGCACACTCATACATAAAAATAGCTGCTAGAGGGCTAAACCAGCTTGTTCTTGTTTGCCTATTTCCTCTTTACTACTGCTCTGTTAGTAAGTTAGTGCACATTGCTACCAACCTCAATACCACTTTGTCTCGCTAGTTTTACAGCTGTATTGTAGTAGCCACAGCGTAAAAGATGTTCCACCATCATACGATCCATACGTTTCTTCTTCCACATGTTTGCAGCAGCTGGCTGGTCACTACTATGTTCTTTCAGATGTTCAATCCTACGTTTGCAGAGTTTTGCACTTTCATCTTCAGCCTGGATTGATTCAACTGCCTAAAAAGTAGAAATTAACAGGAACAAATAAGAACTATACATTTTCAATTTGCTTTTAAAGTAGAACGCTAATAATGGGTTCTAAGCGTTCTTTACATATTATACAGTTACTCCCAATAGCATTCTTTCATTTAGAAAAACGTTTCCTATGGCAGTGTGGAAGTTTCAGTATGGCTGGTCTAGTTCTGAGGTAACCTTGCATATAAGTAAGCGTTGACTTATTCGACATTTAGAGTATATGTATTTTTCTGCTTTACATGCAGTTAGTCTGAAAACAGCAACATATCAACTAAAGCAACTGCTGCAATAGTCTGCAAAGAGCTTTGTGAAGGTTTGTAGTCATCTGGTCCAAACAGCTGAAAACCATGAATTTCCACCTCTAACCTATGCATGGCTTCTTCCTCAAGCAGCTGTCCTACTGAATTAGTTCTACTGAGGAGTGATGGAGTAAACCCACATTACTTCTAACACACTGGAGACATTTTAATCAGTCATGCAATAATGAAAATTATATAAAGGTGCCAAGAGGCAAAATGTTTAATTCAAGGATCTTGGAGTAGCTTTTCAAAAATTATCAGCTTTGTTAAACTGGTATTATTTTACTTACCTCTGCTACTCTGGAAACAGGGATCTACTGTTAGGAGTCTTATTTAAGAAAATAAATTTGTCCAGAGGAAGCAAAAGGACTTTTTTTTTTTTTTTCTTTTAAACTGCGATATTGGCAAGCCCAGTGCAAAACACACACCCCGAAATACCTCCACAACATTTTTCTTTTTCTAAAGAAAACACAACCACTCTGGCCATACTTAGTTTCCTTCCACCTTCAAGTGGTACAGCCGATTAGTTATGCTGCAAATTTTGCTAGGCAATTTTACTACAGGCCTATTGTAGGTCAAAGCTAGTTGACTCTGTGTAGAGCACGAGAAGCACAGGTCACGCCAGGCCACAGAACACACAAAAGCTTCGAGTACTCCTATATGCTTGCTAAGGTGAAAGCAAACCAGAAGATGATGGAGGCTTAGCACCAGTCCCACCTGCGATAAATCACTAGTGATGCAATTTCAGGTGGGGTTGCCTGACTTGGTGACAACTTTAAACTCACCAGCTTGTGTCTAAGTAAGTGCACAGCTATGGCAGCAAAAAAGTCCACGCAGGTGTGCCAACCAAGCACAGACCAAATCACCTGGCTTTTGGCAGCCCACTTTGCACTCCATGCTGGCACAGCTACCTTTCCAGTACTCAAGCTGTTCAGGGTACAATATTATCACTGGATAACAGCTCCAGCTCTGGAGGCACAGGCTGGTTCTAACTGCTTTTGCCATGCATGCTCATTTAAAGACAACTTCTGGAAGGATCAGTATTTAAAAAGCAAGGTCAAATAAATAAAAATTTGTGCAAGCCTACCAAGCATTTGCCCCAATTAAGTTTGATCTGGCCCTTAATACCAAATTCAAGTATTTAAAACCATAGCCACCACAGAAGACAACCTTTTACTAAATTTCATGTAAACATCTACAACCTGAGTTATTTTTATTTCTTAAGTCTGAGTTACTTGATTACTGAACTTAGCCTTACTTTGTAACATAGGGTTTGGAGATGCCTATTTTGTTTAAGTTAGAACTGAGGCTTTACCTATTCAGCAAGCAAACAACTCGCTCAAGCCCAAACTCACTTTCACTTGCTAGATGCCTGCAGTATTATCAGATGTGAAGGCAACCTCGAGAATTATGCTGAACATAACTAGCAGAATTCAAGGCATCCAGGCACAAAGGTTGAGCCCCTTCCCATTCCACAAGATTCTCCTTATATGGTTTTGTATCTGGACTCAAACAGCTCTTGCTGGGGTTGGTGGTTTTTTTTTTTTTTGATCCTTCTAGTGCATTCAGAAAGGCTTCGGATACTTTTCTAAACCCTCTGAAGCAAGTCTATCTGGACTTGCCCTGCTCGATGTGAACAGAACTTGAGGGAACAAGCACATTAAACAGGATACAAAAGGGAAAACACAAAGACCTAGGTCTCCCTAGGATCATTTTCAGAACCCAGGAAACCTGCTGTGTTGACAAGAGTAGTTAAGGTGTTAAAAGAACCATCTAATTCTATTATGGCCATCTCAGCAGTTCATCAGATCCTTGTCTAAACACAGGAGGAAACAGAGATCCCACATGGGTCCAAAGGCCCTAAAGAAAACAATAATTTTGCTCGGGGCAGAGATTACGGAGAAGACAGCTGGAGTTGAGGGTTTGGAGCAGAAACAAGACCTTTGTATTTCAGAAGAGTTTTACTGTTAAAGAGAGGTTTTTCGCCTTTTGTTCTTTCTGAGCAGCTCTAAGATTCCCCAGAGTCTTTCAGGCAGTCAAAAAAACAAATGAGCAATTACACTAAAATGGAGCCTTGCACCCAAAACATTCAGCAATGCCTTCAGACACGCCCCCGCAGTCAGCAAAGATTTAACAAGTAAATAACTTAACTCCTCCACATCCTTACTACACACCCACAAGCAAAATCTGACACCTCTTTCAGAAATAGCAGTAATTTCTTTCTGTAAGTAGAGAGAAGTGAAGAAAACATTCTTCAAGACCTCTAAGACTCACAAACCAGAGATGAAAACAGAAATTAGATTTATGAAGTCTTTTGCAGAACAGCTTTTCAACACCTAGCTAACCTGTTCAAGCAGAAAACCCCAAATCAACATACATGACTGTCATTTTCACGTTGTGAACCTCCAAGGTATTTTGACGCTTCACTTAATGTAGTCTCAAGATTTATATCTGTTGGTTATTTCATTTAAGTTTTAATGAAATGACTTTGCAACCATTTATTTCATCTATTTATTTTTGAAGAAGCACTGGCAACAGAGCTATTTTCATTTTTCTGCAACATTTGTTTCAAAGTAAGTGTTCTGATGAGTCTCAGGATGAGTAATATTTCCATTCAAAATAAGGATGGTTTACAGTATATAGTTTATGTTTTTAACTCATTCTTCTTGGAAAGATGTGGTGAAAAGAGCATTCAAGCTGAATAGCTAGAAGCAGGTTATCCTGCTAAACTTTGTCTAAAAGGCTTTTAGTATTATTTCCTAGGAACCTTCCAACCTGCAAGTTCAATGTTTATAAAAATGTTCAAGTAACAATCCAGGGCAACTCGCACTTTCTTCTGCCAAGAAGGCTCAACACTGCATACAACCACACACCCACTGGAATTTAAACGTATTTTCAGACTCATCTTCTACCTGGTATTGCTCTTTAAATGATCAGTTAATGCAATTGCACAAACCTTTCTAGCAGACAAGCAAAAACTGATGCAAATCAATTTATTTTGCTACTATTTCTTTTCCTGTGGGTAGTGAAATTCCCTTTCAGGACTATAAATCATAGTAATTTTACCTCTAAGAGGTTTGTTATACTTAGCCATGGAACACTAAGTCACATTTCATAAGCACAGTAAAGCAAGATACAGTAAGTTCTGCCATTTTGCTGTGCATGTTAAGGCCTTTATTTACAGTGCCAGTAATACCCATACCTCAAAAAGAAAATCCAAGCAAACAGCATTGCAGAAAACTACTTCTGTTCACTTTGTAAAGACAAAGCAATCACAAGGTAGAACACCACTTACCTTCCGTTTCAGAACACTGAGTTTTTCAACTACTCCATCCAGCAGACTAACAACTGAATCCACAGCAGGACAATTGCTCAGTGTCTTCTCCAGCTCTGCCACCACCATTGTAACGTGGCTGGTCTCTCGATCAATGTTTTTCTGTGCAGCTCGAAACCGTTTGTTCAGTGTTTCATATGGCACCTAAATGACAAATAACGAGTCATGAGAATTTCTATATTAATAAAGTCAGGTCTTCTAGAGTTTAAAGAGAGAATCTCTGCATCTATCCAATGCAGTCAGAAGAACACCTAGGTTCTTGGACACTAGAGGTCATTAATCTACCTCAAGTTCTTATATCAAAACCCTTATTTAAGCCTTCTCAGCAAGAAGCCAACACTTCAAAGATTATGGAAAATAACAGCGACAGGAAATAAAAGCTGGTAGATTCTTTTGTGATACTGATTTCACCTATCCTGCTTTGAATGTAGCAAGCACTGATGGAAACTAGTCAGGAAGAACAGAAAGCAAAGAGAAATGGAAATCTACGCTTCACTACAACTAACGAAAAACCTTCAGTACATGGCTTTTAAAATTTGCATTTCTTTCCTTCAGGAGGTCATAAAATAAGAGAAAGTTGCCTTCAAAAAAGCACGTACAGCACAAACTGGCTACCGAAAAATTTATACGCAGTACACCAATGGTTATTCAGGAAATCCAATAGGTCTCCTACCTATTTCTGCCCATAAATTACTACTTTTTAACATTAATTCCAGTAGGGCTATAACAAATGCCAAGAGAAACACCATACAAGTTTTCTTTTAGTGAAAAAAAGCCTACACTAGATGATTGTTAAGTTAGTTAAAACCCTCTAAGGCTCCTTTCCTTGGTTTAGTGACTAAGCAGTCCTGGAGGTCTCCTGTCCCACTTGTCCCATGCCTTTATGGGACAGCCACATCAAAGCCCCCACTGACGGCCATTAGGGACACATACCTGGGAGCAGTCTACAGCCTGGACAAATTTTAGGGTACTGAATGATTTGGGGGAAGCTTACAGTAAATGTTAAGCCACTCCCATCATGTTGCTTCTACTACAGTGACAGCATAAACAATTTAGACAGGAAGTCCTACTACTTCACAGAAACAGGAATTTTAGAACTAAAAACATTCCAGAGTTAGACACATAAATCATCCAGATCTTTTATCTTGAAAAAAGTCTGTGAGAGTTCGTTCAGGTAGGTATGACAATCTTGATTGCTTTTCCACAAATCAAAGACATAATTAGCTAGCAACCAGAGTACACACATTAAAACAGGAAATGCAAATCAGTGTTCTGTTTGGTACATACCATGTGTATGTTTGATCAGAAATCTTTCAACCAGTGCACACACAGGGTGTTTGTTGGGGCCATTATTTTGACATCTCATGCTTTTGAACAGGGAAGCCTGGTTTCCAACCCCAAGACTTGAAGCTGGATAGCATTAAGACAACTTCTTCCCTTATTTCCTCCCTGCATTTTTCTTACTGTTCATTGAAAAATGTATTTCCTTCAGTTACATGCATCTAGTGAAATTAATTTCTGCAAGTCCTTTGCTAATCAGCTTTCTACACCATGCTGAAAAGCTACATCAATCAAGACTTTCAGAAGCCATTAATGATTTACCTCTTTCACTATAAAAAGTGGTTTTGTTAGATTTTGAGCAGTCAGTTGAACTGGACACACAGATCTAGTCAGTTTGGGAAAAAAAAATTATCTAGCTTTAATCTCCCTTTCACCTAGTTTCTTATCTGCACACAAGAGCAGTAACAGTTCCTGTTTCCCATGCTCGCTCTCTTCAGTGTGCAGATTTCTGGCACAGTCTGTGTTCATATGACATTTAAAACAACTGGACTTCTAATTACAGTTGGCATCATTGCATATAATTTATAATGTGTCTAGGTGCAATAGAGGGTTTGAATCTTCGTTTATCTATTTTTTCTTTTCCTACCCCAAAAAATTCTAAATATCCTGTGTGGAAGGGGCTAGGATTTGAACTGTTTTATTATATATTCTGAAAGTAAATACAAATAACTATATTGTTAAACACAATTTTAGTGTACCATAACCAGGGAAATGGCTTTAAAGATACAATGAAATTATTTGCACAACCAAAACAGAGTAAATACTCTTCACCAGAACCATGATCTGCATGGGCGCTTGTTTCTTACTACAGAGCCAGCAGTTTTTATGGAATATTTGGAAATCATACACTGAATTTACAGGCCTAGATTCTAGAAATACCAAAATTTAGAAATTTGCAGCCACTATGTTTCTTACTGAGAAAGTATCTTATCTAGACTCTGCATCTTGATCCACTGGTTCTGTTATTACAGCTCCTATGCCTCAAAAGAAACACCATTTCTCAGCATTGGTTTGCTTTACCAAAAGCTCTTCAAAAGTTACAGACACTGTACCAGTAAGTTTATATTTTTCTCCAATAATGAAAGTAAATGGAAGGAGCACATAACAAAACAATGCTCTGAAAAAAGTAATTCTAAAAATACTTAGTTATGGTTCACTTCAATTTTCAAGTACCACAGTTATAAAGAGTGAACACCGAACTTTTTGAACCAAGAAACAGCTGCAAAATTTACATATCATTTGCTGCCACAAGCCTACTACAGACTTCCAATTTTTACTTCCAGTAACACTCTGTGATGAAGCCTGGATTACACAGTTAGTCTTTAAGGACAAGAGTGACCTACAGAACTCAGCCAAGGAAGCTTTACCTTAAGGAAAAAAGCATAACCAACCACTAAACACTGAAAAAATTCACAGCATAAGCATACAAGAGAACACAAAGGAGAGATGTGAAACATCAGTAGGTAGCATATTGAAATCCAGTGTCACTAAACAGGTTCTGTTCTTTTGATCATCAGCTTCCATGGCTGCAGACACACGCTGTGGTTTAACCCCAGCCAGTAACCAAGCACCACACAGCCGCTCGCTCACTCCCCAATGGTTGGGATGGGGGGGAAGAGAATTAGAAGAATAAAAGTGAGAAAACTCGTGGGTTGAGATAAAGACAGTTTAACAGGTAAAGCAAAAGCCACGGCCACAAGCAAAGCAAAACAAGGAATTCCTTCACCACTTCCCGTCAGCAGGCAGGTGCTCAGCCATCTCCAAGAAAGCAGGGCTCAGTCACATGGAACAGTTACTTGGGAAGACCAACACCATCACTCTGAACATCTCCCCCTTCTTTCTTCCCTCAGCTTTATATGCTGAACATGACACCATATGGTATGGAATATGCCTTTGGTCAATTGGGGTCAGCTGTCCCAGCTGTGTCCCCTCCTAGCTTCTTGTGCACCCCCAGCCTACCCACTGGTGGTGTGAGGAACAGAAAAGGCCCTGACTGTGTAAGCACTGCTCAGCAATAAAGAAAGCATCCCTGTACTATCCACACTGTTTTCAGCACAAATCTAAAACAAACTGAGGAGACATGGACTGAAGGGCTGGAATACAACAAGGGTTAGGGACTGACTGGACAGACAGACTCAAATAATAATGATCAGTTGCTCGAGCGCTACCTGGGGGCCAATTACAAGTATTGCGTGACTCCCAAGGAATGTTATCAGCTCCAACATGTATGTTTTCAGCCACGTCACTATGAAACAGAACACACAATCAGAAAGCTCAAGGAGCACAACAAATTAATGGAGTGCTTGACAATGCTGGGTGGCAGAGCTGCCATTTAGAAAAAATGACAAGCTGGAGAAACACACCAAAAACTTTATGAAATGCAATCAAGGCAAAAAACACAACCAAGCACTGCACCCAGCACAAATCCACCACAGGCTGGTGAATAACTGGCTAGGACCACTTCTGCAGAAAAAAAATGTAGAGGATGTTCTGATGGACAGCAGGCTGGACACAATCCTCAGCAGACAATTGTGGCAATGAAAGTTAACCACATGCCAGGCTACATTAGGAAGACCAAAGGCAGTGGGTTAAGAGAAATGATTGTTCTTTGTGTTCAGCACTCAAGCAGAGTCTGGTTTTTAAGTTGCCTCCTCCACTCCCACCAAAGAATGCTGACAAACCAGAAAGAGGCCAGAAGGCCACCACCACGATGGTTGTTCGCTGGTTGGAGGATACATAATCCAAAGGAGCTGAGAGCAGCAAGCTTGTTTCACTTGCAGAAGAAAGGCTACAGGGAGCTGGGAGCAGCACAATCTGATAGAAGTCTTCCACTACCAAAAGGTGAAGGTCATAGATAAGAGCTAGCCAGCCTTTACTCCAGTTAGAGCAAAAAGGAAAGAGGCAGAGTCAACAACTAGCAGCAAAGAAAATTCCAGCTGGACAGAAGGAAAAAAAGTATTTTAACCTCGGGAGTTCGTAAGCACTGAAACAGCGGCCCTGAAATGTGGTCGAATCTCCACCCTTGGAAACTTTCAGAACTAGGCAGGACCCTGAGCAACTCTAATAAGCTTGGAAGTTAGCCTGGATTTAAGCAGAAGCCTGAACTACACTGTCTGCAGAGGTCCTTTCGTACCTTAATTTTATGAATTCACCTAGAAAGAGACTGGATCTTAGATTCCCATTGCTAATTTAGACATCAAAAGCCTCTCCATATGATGATATGAATGGCCATACCAGGTAAGACCAGAAGCCTCTCCTCTGTCACCAGCCTTTCTCTGACAACATCCAGAAAGGTGGTGGCACTTGAAAAAAGGCAAGGACAAAAAGTTACTAATCCCAAATAGTCTCTTTAGGCTTCTTGAGCCAGAGGTGGAAGTTTTATAGTAGAAACACCACAGTGTTTCTCATCCATGACCTCTGTCAGTTGTTGTTGACCTGCAGAGTTTCAGCACTGCAATATCCTGTGATGAAACGTTTCTCAGCCTCGTATTGTGCAAAGAAACACTCCTTGGTTTTGACTTGTCAACTGCTAGCCTAATTTGGGACCCTTTTGTTCTTGTTTTGGAAGCAAAAGAAGGGAACATTCACTCTCTCCTATGCCTGTCATATGTAGAGACTGAAAAGGCTCTTTCCAAACCATTCTTTGAAGACAGCCATTCAGCAGCTCTCTAGTAATTCCTACCCTTCTGTATACATTTTCCAGTTCTACATCACTTTTCAGGATGAGGGAAGGGAGAAAATAAGAGTAACTCATACTACTCAGGCAAAGAAGAAACCATGGATTTTCACTTCTACATAA